CCCTGGATGCTGACTAGTAATTACTCTAATCCCGAAACTACAACTTTTCAAGGGTTTTCCCTTGTTGTTAAGCTCTACAAAGTGATTTCTCTTGCCTTTCCAGGGAAAGGCAAACAGATTCTCTATCAGCTGTTTTATGCAAATGCCCCTTTCCAAGTCTTGGCCACCAACTAATTTTTCTATCAGCTGTTTTATGCAAATGCCTTTCCAAGTCTTGGCCACCAACTAATTTCTCCTGCAACTGCAGCAAGCACACGACCAAACAACCAGGACCTCCACGTGCTCCTCCCATCAGGACCGCAGCACTTTATTACAAAGTCTTCAAGTGACCTTCTTTGTTCCTTGCTTTTCTACCTTGCAGAAGGGCCTCAGAGAATCTCAGTGGAGATAAAAAGATAGAAAAGAACTCTACTAATTGGGACGGATTGCATATTTTTCAGTAGTGGCAGAAGCAGCAAGTTCTGCTACGCAAAGGAATTATGTTCTCTTTCTAGCACAGGGCCTAACGAGCAGGGCCTTTTAATCACAGGGAAAGGATGAAGGGGCAAAATTGTTTTACACTTCTGAAATAATTTTCTTTCATAGGAAGTGCTGTTTTCCTCTAGTTTGTGCTTCTGACGCAAACATTTGTGTTCCAAAAATATACTGTGTACATTAACTCTGTAGCTATAGACACAAACATTTACAAAGAAATTAATAGGCTGGAGTGAACTAGCTTGAAAATCTTATGGCTTTCCTTCTGGCCCTCCTACACAGACAGCCAGATTACCTGGTCTCATCTTGAAGTAAACAGACATGGGCTACCGAAGAAAAGAAACACACGTTCAAGAAGTATAACAATCTTGGCTGATTAAATGAAACAAAGTGGGTTTAAAAAAATTCCACACATTCCAGAGGTTTTCAGTTTTTGTTTGTCTATTTCCACATCCCTCCTTTCATCTACACGATCTGCCTTCGTATTTGCATTGCACATTCAAGGCAAGTGCAGCCTACTCGTCCGTGTCGTCGCTACTCCCGAAGGGCTGATCCTTCAATGCAGGCATTGCTCAGGTTTAAAGTGAAGGAGAAAAACGTGGTTCCCAAAACATTTGGTTTCCTCTGCAAGGCTGCCTCAAACTAGGGGAAGCTGGTTACATTTTGCAGTTTATTTTTTAGCGAATAGGTCTGTAGGGGAATGTCATTCCTGGTATAAATGTTTGTACAGGGTGAGCTGGGAGCGCTGGGTGAGCCGGGTGAGCTGGGTGTGCAGGTAGCGCAGGGTGTGCTGCATGTGTGGGATAGCCCAGAGGAGGAGTATGGATATGTGGATAAAATCCTGGCGGCAAAGCGCCGTGGGTTGGTTGTTGTACTGGGCCTGAAATCACCAGCTGGAGCAGGCTGTGAAAAGAGATTCAGAGAGTCATAAGCGTTACTTCATGAAGGCTTTTGTAGTGGCTCTCCCTAGCCCACACGGCACCGATTCTTCACACAATTCATAGACAGAGTTCACAGAACCACAGGACAGTGACTCAATTACACTCTCTGCAACTAAAAGCCAACTTCCATATGTAAACACACACTTTCTTATGGATTTTATCTTGACAGCCTCAAGTAGGTGTCTTTAAATACGCATTGAAACAAATATAGCTTATAGAAGAGTCACTTACTTGTTATGTGGTAGCCTGGAGCATACAGTTCTCAAATCATCTGAAAGACAACAGAAGATAAAATTCTGCTTTATCTTTGCTGTTGTAACAATTTTCCTCTCTTTGCCTTTCTAGGAAAGTCCAAAAACCCATTCTCCGGGGAGTAGCTTTGGTAGGAGACAGCACGCGTCTCTGTCTTGCCAATTATTTCCTCAGCTTTTTGCACTTTACTTATTATATGCTTTGTATTTAACCTATACAGCCATAGTGGAAAAGCACTTCATTTCAAGGCAGACCAAAGGTCGTACAGAATTTGCAGCAGGTTGAACACAGTGACTGCAGAGTGCACACTCTCGCTGCAGCTACAATAGCTCGAGACCAAGCTCCTACTTACTTTTGCAGATAAACCTACTTTTTTCTTTTTTTGTAGATAAATCCAAAATACAATTAACTCATATTTAAGCCACTGCTTATATCAAACTACTTTCTACTTCTATAGTAGGAGCAAACACTCAAAATGTACCAAGTGAATAGCTAGAAAACAGCATAGTTTTAAAAAGTTTTCTGCCTATTCTTACTTCAGAGTTCCTGAATGAAAGAAGAAAAAAAGACATTGAGATTTGACACATTTAACAGAGCAGATTCAGCCAGAGCAGAAGCCCCAGGCACCTGCTTAGGCAGACGCAGCTCTCTGCAGGCAGGAGATGAGACCACAGAGGTCCTGGACTGTTAAGACACTTAATTCAGGACCTGCAGTTCATGATCTAATCCCTCAGAATCGAGGGATCAAAGCAGGCAACATCTTTCTCTCTTTGTGTTGATATGAAACACAATGTTCTCATTCATATAGAGGCCCCAAGGAGATCAAATGTGTTACCATGTCAGAAACTCAGATATAAATCCCTTCCAAATACTACAAGGAAGAGGGTCAATTCTTCCCCAGCTCTGCAAGCCAACAGATTTTTTATGATGCATTGCATTGATGATCTGTCCTTTCTTACTCCCCATCCAGATCTGTTTCCTGAAGCATTTCCTGCAGTTCACTCTAACACTGTTTCCCCATAGCAGCAAACTAGCACTTCTGCTATCAACACACCAATCTTTACTCCCCTCACCCCAAAGCTCCCTTTCAAGACATCCACCCACGCACCGGATGAAAAGAACCCCATGCCAGGCCCCATGCCAGCCCTGCTCAGCTACTCACCTCTAGTGCACAGCAGTGCTCCTGATGCCATGGCCACTTGCAGAGCCTGAGCCAGCCTGTCTAGGGCCAGTTCAATCTCTTTGGACGCATTGAGAGGATTGAGTTCATCAGATAGCCTGTTAATTTCCTCAACAAGTGGAACCACGTGGTCAAAGGGCACAAGCCCCAGGCGTCCGTAAAGGTTCTTCTCTGTTAAGTGCCCCTGAAGCATCATGAGAACCTGCAGGACACTTAAATGCAGTTTTGAGTACAGCTGATGGCAGTCCTTGTCATCTCCTGCAGCCGAGTCTTTAGCAATTTTGCTGGGGGGGTGTCCATTTGAGAGAGAGGCTTTCTTCTTCCTTTTATAAGCCAAGGGGGCCTTCACGCACCAGCGGATCAGTCCGGTGAGTGGGGTAAGCTCTAAGAACCCGATGGGCAGGTTGGCTGCAATAGGAGTGTTTAGAAAGGTAATGAGGATCAAGCGGGGGTCTTCAAAGATCCAGGAAACAATCAGCTCGAGCAGGTCTGAAGGAGGGATGAGGTCATCTAGAAATAAGAAAGATATTGATAAGCAAACAGCCCTTCGCTCCAGCACAGGACGGTGGTTTGGTCATGAATCCCTTACCCGTACACCTTCTGCACTGGCACAACTGAATTTCAGAGCCTCCCTAACTCTGGTGTTTTATTTGCAAGACACCAACAGTAGTTGCTCTTTTGCACAGAGAGAGACAACATATTATCAGCTTCATCTTCTGAAGGCTCTACCACATTTCAACATTTAACCCCTTTCAGCAAAAAGCTTCATTTGTCATTTCCTTCCTCTCGATCCATCACCTGCTCACTCTTCCTCTAAACTTGGTCTCAATTTATTCCATGCCAGAGAAAGTATGACGGGAAAGAAAACAGGTAAAACTTGCTGGCACCTCCACCTCCTCACCCCAATCATTGAACTAATTTTCTTTATGACTTAGATAAATAAGCCTATCTTGCGGAAAAACTTAGCATGACCAGCAAAACATTCTAAGATTATATAAAGTTTCAAGTAAGAAGCAAAAGTTGCTCATGAACTGCAGCTTGATTAAGTCTCAACAAAAATATTTACTTCACAGTAATCGTGTGTCATTCTGTTACAGTGCTGGATGACCAAGACTCGGTGCACTATCTTCCTAGTGAATCACATACAAGTCAGCAAAGGACAGAGCAATGAACTGATCTAGTCAGTTCTTTTGTACCTTGACCAGCTGATGAAAATGACTTATAGGAAAAAAGGTCATTTGCACCACAGAATTACCCAATCCTGGATCAGCACCTTTTGTTTTTTAAAATGTAAATGTATATTCATGTAAATATAAAATATTGAAAAAAAAAGTGTGCTACAAGCTTAATCAAAGACTTAAAGACAGAAAGAAGAAAGTCGAAACCTGGACTTCTCTCCTACTAATGCCAAGTTGTTTATCTGGAGGAGGCTGTGCAAAACACTTCCTTTATCTTCACAAAGAGTATTTGCCTTTTTGAGTGAGGCAGGAAGTTGGCATTTACTGTGTGATTGTCCTCTCCCTCAGCGAGTAAAGCTAAGTCAATATTATTTTGCACATACACACACACTCTTTGGGAGCGACACCCGGAGGCAGGTCATATCAATATCTGGTCACGGACACAGTGAAAGGGTACACGGGAGGTCTGCACAACCAGTCGGTTGCATTTCTTATTCCTGTACAACAGGAATCCTGTTCCAGCTTGCAAACATTAAAACTTTATGTTTTTCACTATATCTGGAGAAGAGCTAGATGGACAGGCAGTTCTGACCCTATCAAAAAAAAGCAGGAAGAAGTTAAACTTCCCAGGCCAGGTAGACCAGCTTTCACATTTAGAGCTTCTCAGTCAATAAGGACCCTTTGCCCTTTGTGGAGGACCTTGCTGTTTGTGTTACGTGGTTACTTCTCTATTAAAGCCTCTCCCTTCATCCACTGCAGGTTATTTTTGTTCTTGCTTCAGCGACAGATGATATGCAAGTCACTCACCACAAGAAGCTTTTTGCAGTAGTTAGATGGTAACAAACCTCTTCAGAATTTCAAGAGTTAATTTGCCTGCAACAATTAATTTGTGTTGCATTACAATGTACCAATTTGAGGGAGTAATCTGGAAACATTTTACCTGAAGAGAGGTCGTACAGAGCCGTGACCGAGGTGATGAACTGGCAGCAGAATCGAGGACTGGCACTGAATATCTGTTTCAGTGTTTGGATGGACCCTGGCACCAAGTTGCAGTAGTCATCAACCAAAGCCCGAGCAAGCCTCACACAGTAGACAGCAGGGGTACGCTGTAGGCATGCAGGAAAAAAATACTAAGAAAAGCAGTGTAAACCAAATCACAGGAAGTTCTAGAGAGCTGACATTAAAGTCTGGTTTGTTCAAACGTCATCCCTGCCCACATCATCCGTCCACTTTACCGTTTCAGCATTTGTGTTTCCACCTTCCCAAAATATAAGCAGTCTCTCTCTTACCATATAAGAGACCCACTCAGAAATAAAGTCACTACCCCACAGTATTAAAATAGATGGTGACATTTCAAGTTGAAGATATAATTGTAATTTACAAATAAAATCTTTGATATCAACTTTTTCACCTAAAAGGTGACTTTTCACTAACTCAGCCATGACTGCATCTATGAGTTACATTTTTAATACAGAAAAATTCTGTGCAACTCACATCAGTTATGGGCTCTGCTCTGTAAAAACTAAATCTTGTTCTGCTACTAGGCTACATCTGCTCCACCACATTTATGGAAAACAGGCCCTGATATTTGCCCAAATCTCAAGAGAGAAACAAACAGCAGCTGACTCCGGCCAGTTGTTACTGATCCTTAGGTGACACAGTTCATTGGTTAACAGTTGGGAAACGCTCCCTCATTCCTTCCTGGGGCCTGCCCTGTTTGCCTGTAAGTGGTACCTGGAGCCAGAAGGCAGCACATTCCAAAACAGGAACTCTGCACACAGCAACTGCCATGGAAACCAGCTTTCCCAGTAACGCCATCCTGTTGTCATCCGCTTTGTTTCCTTGAGGACTGAAGAGAGATGAGAAAATGATCTGCCGGACTGAATCCTTGGTTTGTTCTTGGAAATAATTGCACATTATCTCAAGCAGTTGAAGTTCTTGAAGCGAATTTAATCTCTGAAAGAAAAGAGAATCAAAGTTGCAAATTACCCTGGAGCTCTTGAAGACCAAGGAATTGCTTTTGTGAAAGACAAGCGAGGGCTGAGAGACTCCCAAAAGCCTTAAAAATCCTGCCTAGGCCGTAGCCTGTACGTCTAACCCCCATTACTACCTCTCCACAATCTCTGTGCCTCTTTTGGGAACTGTGCACATATACAAGCTTCCTAAACAACCACTGCATTTACCTAGTTACGTAAAAAAACTATAGGCATTTGCATATACCATATGTATAGCCTGCTATAACAGATTAATGCTTGCTGCACAACCAAGCACTGTCTGTAAACTGCAAAAGATGGCCTACAACAAGTGTGGGGTAAATAAAAAAAATGTTTCCCCCCCCTCCAAATAGCCTTGTTGTGAGCACAGCCAGGCAGGCAGGCAGGGGAAAGCCGGGCCTGCAGCCTGCTGTCCCCGGAGCCGGGCACCTCTATGTGGTGCCTCCTGACCGCTGCAATCCAGGTGGTCCCGGGCACCGCCCAGAGAGCCCCGACAGAGCCGGGCAGCAGCAAAGCCCCGCGGGCAGCCCCTGCGCCCCTCTCGGAGACCCCATCCAGGCTCCCGACACCCCTTTTTGCGGCGGGGGTGACCTGCTCCCCCGTGCCGGCCCCTGAGCGCACCTTGGGCGGGGCGCCGCGCTCCTTGGGCACCTGGAAGAGGAACTCGTCGACCAGCTCGGCGGGGCCCTTGTCGACGAGCGGCAGCGGGGCGCTCTGCAGCTGGCTGCGGAAGTAGATGTCGAGGTGGTAGAGCACCTCCTTGGCGGCGCTCAGCGCGTCGCGCCGCAGCAGCGAGTG